ATTTGTTAAAAAAATTAAATAATACATAAAAGTTTATAGGATGATGTAGTTTCAATTTCTATATCGAATTATATCTATCGATTCTAAATAATTACATAAAATTTTCTTAGTCGATATCAATAGCGTATAAGTTTTGGATAGATAATGTCATGCCATCACAATTAAGAACTATTTTATAAAAAAAAATTAATCTTACTTAAAAATACATGAAAAATAGAATGAAAAAGTTGTTCCCATATTTTGTATAAAACGTTTTATAAATACCAATGTACAGTGAATAATTTTTTAATTTTTAAATAAACGTTTTTATTTAGTTGAAAATTTGTAAGGACAAATTAATTTTTTTTATGTATATTCCAAAATAAGTTATGAAAATTAAAAAATGGGCGTATTATTAAAATTGCTATTAATTAAAATAGATAGATAAATATTTCCAAGCATCAAAATTTTGAAAACTTTTTAGTAATCAATAGATGTCAAGCGTAATAATATTTAAATTCAACATTTAAGGATACTTTCTTGTTGATCTCATAATACAAAAAAATATCAAATTTAATAGTATTATAAAATGATGGGCTTAGCTCACATTATCACCTGCTTTTATACTTTTGATGACCATAATTTTCTTATATAGTTTGTGCTGAAGGTTTTTTTTCTATATTCACAAACATTGTACACCAAGTTAATTTCTCTAATATTTATTTTAAAAAAGTTTTTTTTCATATATATATACAATTCATTTTTAAAAAGCGAACATCCAATTCATACATAAACTATGCATACTAATTGCAACATGAAAGGTTACTTTAAAAACTTTTTTTACTCATGTGTGGACACAAAATTACATCGTTTACAATACCAGACGTAGTTTTAATGGAAACACGGTTACTTGTGACCAATTTACGATAAGTTTTAAAGGACTTTGATCAGTGTTACTTTTAAGTCATTAAAATTATTATTACAATTAAAATGTTTCAAAAACTTACATAATAATAATAAGTCTTAGAGAAAACGAATGATGTTATATTTACACGACATATTTATCAAAAAATTATTACCAGTCTTGAAAATTAATTTTATAGGATAAATTATTATATTTATTTAAATCAAGAAATCACTTATGAAAATCATGTAACGTATAACAAAGTATGTACATAATCGTTAAATAATTATTGCACTCCGGCTTAAGATGTACAGTTTTCTCTTAGCTCCGTTTTCAAGTTTTGTTCAATATTTTGAGTATTTTTTCTTCCTATATCTTCATTATTCGAGTACACATTCATCACATAAACAAGAGTTGTGCCATGTCACATACATAAAATTTCATGGTGATAAATATGTTTAAGAATAAATATCAGAAATACTTGTTAACTCGTAGTATAGCTATAAATGCCAAATAGATAGTGACGAGCTATTTTGTACATATTTATTTATTTTTTATTCGTCATTCATAATATTAATTCAGTACCTGGAAGAAAAAGATTATGTATCAGTATATAATTTCTGTACCCGTTTGTAGTAGGTTTATTTAGTCAAAGAAATTTATTTTTTTTTTTCCTAAATGTCGTATATTTGTTTAAAGCTATCTGGTAAAATACCTGGTACTTGAACAAGTTTATAATATGCATATAATAACTACAAAATATTAAACATAATGTAAAAAATATTCAAATTTAATATTCTTCTCATAATAATATTACTGGGAAATCAGCTAGAAATACATTATTTCGATGTTTCTTTAATTAAAAAAAAAATGCTTATATATAATAGACAATAGTTTCTACATCGAATCATAAAATTATTTTTGGAATTTAATTTTATCGTCTAACTTTTCCAGTAATAGAAAAACCGTTTTGGCACATATACTCATTTAAATATGGTAACCAACTATTACAGCTTGTTTAAAAGGACTATTCAAGTATATACGACTGTATTTTTAGTGAATTTTTAACGTCTCGGAAAAATTTCTTATCATCGTTATTTTTTTATTTAATTCATTTTTATTTGCCAAAATAATAGTTGAATACAATTTATTCTAAAATATGTTCAAGTACTGGGTACATTATCTTATTCTGTGTTTTAAATGTTGTCTTGATTAATCGTCTCTACAATTTTTTTATGAATTCCGATTCATTCTACACGATAAAAATCTCAACTCCGGTTTTCATTTTCGTTTTTACGTCAATTAAACTGCAATCTACAGTATTTTTTAAAATTATAATTACTGATGGCAATTCCATTAGCTGTATTGCTTTAGAGCGGACGTTTTTACATGGAAGAAAATGGCTAAAAATTTTAGAAAAATCAACAGGAAATGCATGAAATTTGATTATACTAGTCCATCAAACTTAAAAAAGAATAACCTATTCACAATTTTTATATTTTAATGATTTTGAATATCTGCCATAAAAATCATAACCATAATTTCAAATTTTTCTTACGGAATTTCTAAAAATTATTACTCAGTATCATAGATTCAGTAATTGATTGATTCTACATTACTGCAGCGATCTCTTTACTAAATGTAATTCTCTTTTCATAGTACCAAGGTGATATAACTTCTTAAGTCACATTCTTAGGGGGGGGGGGGAGAGAAAGAAGCCATATTTCTTCATCAAATAGTTTCCGTACTGACTAACTAGGAGTAGGAATTAATAAAAATCAAATATCAAAATACATCGATTAATTTTTAATCATAGAATTATTCTTAACTAACAGAGTTAACTCCTCCATATTACTTTTGGCTTCAATATATTACCTTGAATTTGTACAATAGTTCTCTATCCACTGACCTATCATACATTTGCTTAAATATCATCATATTTACAAATATTTATTAAACTACCCTTTGTTTACGATAAATTAAGAATTGTATAATTTATTGCGGTATTATAATTTTTACAGAGCGCATGACTACTGTTATTATGCTGGCATTATAATTTTTGTTTTACGACATAATTCGGTGAAGACGTTTCAGATTTATCGAATTTGTAATCGTTAAGACAACTAATTCAATCAACACCTTTTCATGGAAATTCCCTGATTAAGAAATCTAATTTGAAATGATTTAGAATGATTTAAATGCATCGGATTTGAATACTATATAGATATACAATTAACATGAAGGTAATCATTTCAAATCATCTTTCTGAATCAGGGTTATGACTTTCTATTGTGAATCAATAAAATATATTTCCAGAATTTTAATAATAATATCTATGTTAACTATAATTATACTTAAATCCGATTTATTATTCAATGCATGAACTTTAGTCCAAATTTGTTTTAGTTTTATGTTAAATCACAATATTTATACCTAGTTACCAATAACTATTGAGATGCATCACATTTATTCTATACTATGTTAATTTTAAGTTTTATTTAATAAAATATTTCTCGAAACTTTTTCTAACTGTCTCAAATCTTAAAATAATTAATTATGAATTTATCTGCATTACGTGATCTCTTTTACATTCCTAAATTAAAATCAAATTCTTTTTCAATCGAAAAAACATAATTTTTTAGTTTTAGAATAATGTTACGTCTCAACGAATATTTTTTTAAAATGATTCGTGATTTTGTAAAATACGACATTCCTTTTAAAGTCATATTGTTTTCATCATTTTTCATCGAACCATTGGCAAGTTATAAGAAAATAAAATTTTTTAAACATGAAAACAGAAAATTGCAATCATAGATCTCTTAAACTTAATATTACAAGCTTAAACTTTCAAAATATTTTCGTTTTATGATCTTGGTCATTATTTCGACTTATTCAAAATATGAGGGAATAATGAAGATATGAACATCGATAAATATATTTTAGAGTGCTTTCAGGTCCAGAATAGCGAAAAGTTTTAAGGGTGGCCATGGCCCACCCTTGCTGCAGCAAGACCAAACGTTCTCCGATTTTTTTTTTTTTAGTTTTTGACATTTTCATATGGAATGACAGAACGATCAAAAATGTTGAATTATTGGTATCAATTTGATTTTTGTAAGAATTAGTGAAAATTACAGATATAATATTAACTTTATACATGTATTCCAAGTTTCCAACTTCAGCACATTCATTAGTGATTTATATTAATATTCTTTTTTTGACAATTACAATAAAAAATATAACGAAATACTTACGATTCAACAAGAGGTCCAGGATAAGGATCCGATTTCTGATATAACGCACTCAATTTAACACATAAAACTACAGTCGGTAAGAATAAAATAAGACACCAACCTACGCTGACCCAAAATCCATTCTGTAATAAAAAATAAAAATTTTATTAATGATATAATTCATCAATATTAACATTAAAAAATTTATTCAAGAGCTTACAAATGGATCAAGGATTCTATTGCACCCATCAACAATTGTAGAATTGTAAGCATTCGAAACAGGACCGCATCGACCAATCGTATCACGTGCAGTTTTTATTAAATGTTCTAAAAAGCCGTTTACTTGATGTAAGAATGCTTCTCCAAACTTAGTAGCAAGCTATAAATTTTGAAAATTAATTAGAATACAAAAAAAAATTTTTTTTTTTTATCAATTTACAATAGTTATACCTACAATTTGTACATATTTTGGACCATCTTTATTTAAAAACTGTTGTGCTACCATTACTTCACTAACTAAATTATGAATAGCTTCCGACATAGAACCATGATTGAATTTGATGTGTTCTTGAAGTTCAAGAGCACTCGTACTAAGTTGTTCACTTAATGATGTCATCGGTAAAATTAAATCTTTATGATAATGATCTAAATCATGAGCATTTTTAAGAAGACTGTCAGTAATATTTGCTTGACTACTTGGTAATGCAGCAGCTATTCGTCGTAACTCAGTTCCAAGATGTTCTAAATTAACATTTGTAATATTATCTTTTAAAAGTTCTGCGTACTGATAAAATTTAATGTCACTTAATCCACTTTGAGCTAAGTCATTTAATTTAGATGTAGCACTTTCGGTGAGTATTACAATGCCTGGAGAAAGATTTATCATTTCACGTAATTATACTCCAAATTGTGCCAATCAGATGTTCTGGAAAATTGTTAGTTATAACTTATAACTTATAACTTATAACTTATAAGTATGTAAATTAAACCATGTAACCAAACCGTGTCAAAGGCCTTCTCAAGGTCTATGAGTGTTGCTCCAATAAGATCCTGGTCTATGTGTGATATCACGTCAGTCAGTAGCTTATGTATTGCGTGTACGATAGAATACTGATGTCTAAAACCAAATTGGTTGTCCGGAATTATCTTGTTTTCATTGCAGTAGTCTACGATGGAGTCATTTATTATTACTTCGTATACCTTGCTGATGTTTGGTGCAAGGCTGATAGGTCTATAACTGGATGTTATGTTTCCTTGTTTGCCTTGCTTCAGGATTGGTATAATTTTTGAGGTTTTCCAGACTGTGGGAAAATACTGTCTATTGAGTGAATTGTTGAAGAAAGTTGAGTAGTCCCTGATTATTGCTGGTGTAAGATTTTTTATTACTATTGATGAGATGTGATCAATGCGGGTTGAAGTTTTATTTGGTAAATTTTTAATTACTTTACTTATTTTTGCTGGAGTGCAGAAATAGTTATTTATCTGGTCATTTGGTGCGTATGCTTTATTGTCATCAGTGAATGTTGTGATAGTTCTATTGTTATTATTATTTTCTTGTAGATTTGCTGAAAATTGTGTAACTGTTTGATCTACTATGTTTTTGAGCTCTGTGTTGTTGTTTAGGTATCGTAGTGAATTAATAGTTTCATAGTATAGGCTCCGATTATGTCAATTTTGTCTTGTTCTTCTTCTATTAGGTATTCATTGTTTATTTTTTTCAATGAGTTTTTGTTGATTTTGCATCGGGTTATTAGTTGATCATCTTCTTCTTTGACAGTGAGACTTGAATGGTTGTTTTGTTGTGTGGTCTAAATACCTTGTTGATTACCGGAAAAAATTTGTTCGGGTCCCTGTGATCTATTTTTTTTACTATTTTTTCCCAGTGATTTTCCATGTTTTTCTTGATTTCGGTTTGAATTTTAAATCTTATGAGCTCAAGGAGTTGTTTGATTTCTTTAATTATTTCTCGGTTTCCTGCTGCTGTTTTCTGGGTCCGGTGGAGCTGAGTTAGTAAATATGATTTTTGCTTATGTAGTCTCTTTATTTTTTTATTGATGTAATAGCTGTTGTAATTGTTGTTATTGGATTTTTTAGGTACTGTTACGACTATTGCATTTTTAATGTGGTCACCTATTGTTTGAATATAGTTGTCTATTTCTTAGGTTGATAAGTTTCTGTCATATGGAATTTCTAGATTGTAATTTTCGTTCAGATGTTTAGTGAATTTTTTCCAGTTTGTTTTTTTATATTGAGGCATCATAGGACTCTCTTCGTTTTTCTTTTTTATACAGAGTTCTTGCAGGTCTATTTCTATAACAAATGCTTTGTGGTCGCTGTCGTACGATAATGTGTCTAGTCTATTGTTTTTTAGGTTGATTAGGTTTAGTCTTGAGTCTGCTAAGCAAATGTCTAAGTATGTATTTTTTGGAGTGAAGGTGGGCTTATGTGATATGCGTATTTTGGTTCTGTAGTTGACTGAGTTTTCTTGTTCCCAGTGAATTAGCCATCTTCCTCTTGTTTTTGTGGTTCTATCGCCTAGATCTTTGTGTCTAGCGTTGAAGTCTCCTGCAATTATATAATATGTGTTGCTGTTGTCTAAGTTTAAGTTGGAAAATAGATTATTTAGTTCGTCCAGAAATATTTGTTTGACTTCTATTTTTGTAGTTGCGTATAAACTTCTAATTATTAATTGCTTGGCGTTATTCAGTTTAATTTTTATCAGTGAGTATTCAATTATTTTATTGGAGCTGGAATTTGGGTGTGTAATTTCAGTATATTCAATATTGTCTTTGATGATTATCGCAGTTCCTCCTCCTCTGTTTGGGCCGATTCTATCTGTGCGGATTATTCTATGTCCATCTATTGTGAATTTATGCTTTGGATTTAGTTTAGTTTCTGTAACGAGGGTAATATCTAAGTTATTTTCCTGTATTAGTTTTGTAAGGTCGTATCTTCGCTGATGTTTAATTATTGAGTTTACATTTATTGCTGCTATTTTTATAATTTTTTGTGAATCTTCTATGTGGAGTGTTCTTATGTTCTGTTGTGTGTGCTGTTCTGGAGTCATTGTTGTTGTACATCGATGTTATTTAATTCTAATAAATAATTTATTCTGGTATTGTTATTGTTAATTTGCTGTTCTATGGCTGTTATTCTTTGGTTGATCATGTTGAATTGTCCAAGTAGATCTTTGGCCCATTGAGGTGGAGTTGCTGCTTCCTCTGGTTTGGAAGATGTTGTTGGGAGTTGAGGAAAAAATTCCTGTTGCAAATTTACTCTTGATGTGGGTACTGTTGTTTGGTTCTGGTTTAGCGCCTCGGTATAGAGTTGATTTGGGTCCACATAACGGTTGATTTTTTGTATTTTAGAGAAGAGTCTTGCTCTTTTCTCATTTTTTTATTCTTTAACTAGCTTTATTGCATTTTTATAATACTCGCAACCTCTGTAGTTTGCAGGGTGACCGTTTTTCCCGCAATTTGCGCATTTTAAGGATTCTCTTTTATCTTCTTTTTTGATTTTGCACTCATCTTGCGCATGTGAGTCTCCGCACTTTACGCATTTTGGAGGCAGAGGGCAGCTGGCTTTTGAATGCCCGAGTTTTTGGCAATTTCTGCACTGGAAGATGATTTTTTTTCTTAAGTTTTCCCACTTAACAGGCTGGAAAAGTAGTCCTTTTATTTTTGTTAGTTCACTGATTACACTTTCACTTGTTACTTGGACTACCCAGATAGCAATATGACGTCTTTTACAGTTCTCAAAGAACTCTTATTTAAGATTTAGACGTCAGAATTTTGATCAAAATGAGGTCTCCAAGACGTTTTGAGGACGTCCAATGCGCCACCTAAAGAGTGAATCAGGACTTCATAGAGAGAGTTCTTAAAGAGCTCTTTTTTCTGACTTCAAAAAAAGAGTTCTTCAAGAAGTCAGAATTAAGAGCCCTTTCTGACTCCAGAAAAAAATAATTTATAAAGGAGACATTTTCAGTTTTAATTGCATTGTAATTAATATTAAAAAAGAGCTTAAATTGAAGACAATCAAGTACATTAAAATCAAAAATAAAAAAAAATACCTTTCGATTTAATTATCGATAATTATCGATTTAATTTTTGATAAGTAGAATCACTGAACGTTTTGCTATTTACGATAATATTTTTATAATACAAAAATAAATACACAGCGAAATGAGTTCACTCGAGTGCGATTATTTTTATTTTTTTATCATTTTAAAAATTCTTTAATAACGTGAGAAAAATTTTTCTAAGTCCCATATTTTGACGAAGTACAAAATCAGAAAAAAAAAACCTATTCAAGAGCTCTTATTCTTGATGTCTTACGAAGTCAGAAAAAAAGAACTTTTAAAGAGCTCATATTTCTGATGTCTTGGAAAGTCCAAAAAAATACCTCTTAAACAGCTCATTTTTTTGACCTCTTACGAAGTCGGAAAAAAGACTTCTCAAAGAGCTCATATCTGTGATGTCTTATAGAACTTAAAAAAAAACTTCTTAAAGACTTCTTAATTAAGAGTTCCGAAAAATGAGGTCTTTAAGACGTCATATTTGGAGTTCTCAAGGAAGTCTTTGAAAAGACATCTTTAAGAAATCCTTCTGACTTGGATGTTGTCTGGGTAGGTGGTGTTTTATATCCTGGCCATGTCTGTTTTTAAATATTATTGGGTTGACTTTTATTATTTTGACGTTGGGAATTTGGAGTTCCTCTAGCTCCTTCTTGATGTCCTTTTCATTAAAATCGCCATTTACTCCTTTTAAGATTATTGATTTCGGTTTCTGGCTTTTTGGAGTGTACGTGTAATACTGGGTTTGGTTGTCAATAAACACTTTGTTTACATTTGCGTAAACATCTAAGCTGAAACAGGTTATTGTGATATTATCACTGGGACTTACTTATTTTAGCCTGACATCATTTTTGGTTATTTTATTGGCGTACAGTAATTTGATTGCGTCATTTATTTTTACTTCAGTTATTATAATTGGTGGTGGTCTGTGATCTTTATTTTTTGGAGCAGACAATTTTGTATTTATATTTACATTTATATCTGTGACGTTTGCAGTGCTGCCATCTGCTGTGACGTCCATTAAGTCATCGTCGATATCATCGTCGTTACTTTTTTCGATGGTAAGATTTCCATACTTGTTACTGGTTGACGCCGCTAGATGTCCTTGCGAGTCTCCTATTTTTGCTGTTTTTTTCGGATTTATCCAGCCATCCTTGTCAGCTTCATTACTGCTGTTTTTTCTTGATCTTGTTGCATTTAGATTTGGGCGAAATTTTATATCATTCTGTGCTTTCATGATGATCTTTTTGTATTCGCGATCTAGCATTTCAGTACAAATCCTTATTGGCCGTTGTGGAAGAGCCTTTTGGATTTTATTCACTGGATTTAAGTTACCTGAGTCTGTGATTTTTCTTTTAGCGTTCATTGTAGCTTTGCCGTCGTCAGCCATCTTGGCTGCGGCGGTGTTTTTGTCCACTTTATTCACTTTGGCACTTTTTTCTGTTGCACATTCACTGGTGTAATTGTACATGAGATAAAACTGATCCTTTCTAGGATATTTGTTGGATTTATTTATCACTTTAATTGTCTTTATTTATTAATTTTTATGGCAGCGATTACCCACACAGAGGTACCCAAACTGCGCTAGTGACACTACCGATAACAACAGCGAGGACAGTACTCGGAGAAAGGGGCAAGATCAAGATCGGCTGGTCGAACTGCCGGGTTAGAGTAGTTCAAAGACCACAAGCATGCTTCAAGTGCTGGCACTATGGACACATTGCTGCCCAGTGTTGAAGTGAAATAGATCGATCAAAGCTCTGTATTAAGTACGGACAAACTGACCATCTAGTAACTAAATGCCATAATGAAGCAAAGTGTATGTTATGTGCTGAAAAACCCGGCTCAACTGATACTGCCCTCCAGACTGGTTCTAGTAAATGCCCGGTTTTCCAAGAAGCACTCCAGAAGACAATAAGTAAACGAACATGAAGATATTACAGCTAAACATTAATTACTGTGAGGCTGCACATGACTTGCTTCTGCAGACAGTGCGTGAACTACGGCTTGCCCTTGTACTAATAGTCGAGCCATATAAATGCCTTAAAGGCTAACTATGGGAAACGGACACGACCACCAGGGCCGTCATTTGGTCCTGTGGCAAGTTCCCATTTCAGAGCGTAGTTAACAATTGCAATGCCGGCTTCGTAGCAGTATCAGTAGATGGCGTTCGCTTCTATAACTGCTACGCACCACCTAGCCTCTCTATTGTTGACTTCACTGACTTTCTGGATCGACTGACAGAGGACGCGAAACAGCATCATCCAGTCGCGATAGCCGGCGACTTTAACTCCTGGGCAGTAGACTGGGGTAGCAAGCTAACTGACACACGAGGTAAAGCGTTACTCGAGGCTTTTACTGCATTAGACGTAGTCTTACTCAACAGTGGTGACACACCAACCTACACCAAAGGAAACGCAAGTTCCATCATAGACCTCACGTTCGTCAGTAGCAGCCTCGCGAGAGGTAACCTCAACTGGAAGATGCTGGATATCTACACTGCCAGTGACCACAACGCGATTCTTTGGGAGATATCAAATGAACAGGATACTAGAGGAACTAGTAGGTTACCTAACCACATTCGGTGGAGAGTAAAATCTTTCGACGCGGGTACGCTGACGACTGCTTTGGATAATGGCCCGATCACCGCTGGATGCGCAGAAGATCAGACTAAAGAACTTATGAAAAGAGTGACCGAAGCTTGTGACGCCAGTATGCCACGAAAACGAGGCACAAATAGAAGACTCGCGGTGCACTGGTGGAACGATCACATCAGAGCTCTTCGTAGAGAATGTCTCAAGAAAAGAAGAATATCACAGCGTGGCTTCCGTCGACCTAACTTGACAGAACTGGTGGCAGAGTATAAAAAGGCCCGTCGGGAACTCAACAAAGCCATCAAGGATAGTAAAAGACGCTGTTGGAAAGAACTC